TAAATTTAAAATAAATTTTTATTTTTTAATATAATTTTATGATAAAAATATATATTTATTATATTTTTAATTTATGTTTGCATAAGTTTAAAAAAAAATCTTTTTTTTCTTTAATTTGTTTGACTTAGACTAGTGTATGTGTCTAGCATAGGGAAATTCTCCCATATTTCTACCTCATTTTTTCTAACTTTTTAAAAACCTACTTGGTTTGAAACTGAAGGTACTTGTGCCAAATAATCTTAAAGGACTCAATCTACAACAATATTAGTGCAAACCAACCACCACAAAAAGGGAAGTAATTCTGGACTCTCTAGGTGAGCTCTGTTGAAAAAATCTCTCCTTATCCAGCTTGCACCGATCGGTATTAATATTTTTGTTTTTAGATAAAAATGATTCAATCAAATCAAGTGTGGAACAAGGAAATGATTTAAATATACATAGTTTGCTCTAAACGTTGTGCCATACTCTAAGGTGCAAGGTCTCAAGACTTCGATCGGGACTTAATTTCCACTACATCAAATTAGTATATAGAAAGACCCCACGTGAAATGTTAAGACCTTTTCACATAGGATTATTGCACGGCGTTCACAACCTCATACCCAAATCATCAAGGTTTTTAAAATCGAACCGGTTATTGAACCGTTTTCAGGTTTGGTTTTTTATTTGACCGATTTAACCAGTTGAATCGATGAACCGATTGATCCAAACAACAAGGGAGAATCTGATGAGGGGGTAGGCAATTTTGTAATTTTATTAAAATTAAGGGTTAAAATCGGTATACGAAAGGAATGGTGAGGGTGAAATTGGAAAAAATAGAAAGAAGATTGCATGAGAAATTGAACCGGTGGTTTTTTCAGTTCTATTGGTTTCACCGGTTCCACCAGTTTTGATCGGTTTTGATCGATTTTTGACCGGTTTTGATTGGTTTTGACTTCAAATGATTTTTTTATATAAATCGAACCGTTTTTATTACTGGGTATTGGTCCGACCAGTTCAATCGGTCGGTCCAGTCTGGTTTTAAAAACCTTGCAAATCATATTCAAATAATTATCCACTCGCTCAAAAAGTCAAAATTTGCTTTGACTATCAAAAGCTCAAACATTTTTGAATTTTTTTTTATTCACTTTATGGAAATCAAAATTTTTTAACAGCATTCTTATAATTATAATAATATATAAAATTATAAATTTATAATTATTTTGACATAATATTAAATAAATATAATAGATATTAAATAAATAAATACAATACAATATTATAAATATACTTTAAAATAAATTAAATTAATTATAACAAAAATTTAAATTATAACTTTATAATATTACATAATATTTTAATTTTAACATTTTTAATTCTTTAACATAAGCTATAATTACAGAATCACATCTGTAAGGAGTATGATGCATTCATCGAAAACATAAAGCCAAAATAAAGGTCAAATGAAGTCTAAATTCAATAAATAATCTACTTTTAGTTTATTTTAATTTAGTTTAAAAATAGTTTTTTTAAATAATCTATAAACTATCAATTTTGTTTTAAAATAGTCTACTTGACAAACATTTCGTTAACTAGACTAACGGAAT